GGGATTGTCCCAGAGTGTCCAGAAGGTTCTGCTGAAGGTCTACGGTGAGTCTGGGGACAGGAATTCTCCCAGGGAGCATTGGGGAAGTTGTGATGGCCTGGGGATTGTCCCAGAGCTCCAGAGGGTCCAGCTGAGCGTCTACGGTGAGTCTGGAGACAGGGAATTGTCCCAGGGAGTGTTGGGGACGTTGTGATGGCCTGGGGGTTGTCCCAGAGCTCTAGAGGGTCCTGCTGAAGGTCTACGGTGAGTGTGGGGACAGGGAATTGCCCCAGGAGTGGTGGGGACATTGTGATGGCCTGGGGGTTGTCCCAGAGCTCCAGAGGGTTTGGGGATTGTCCCAGAGCTCCAGAGGGTCCTGCTGAGGGTCTACAGTGAGTCTGGGGACAGGAGATTGTCCCAAAGCTCCATGGGGAAGTTGGGGACATTGTGGTGTCCTGGGGCTTGTTCCAGAGCGTCCAGAAGGTTCTGCTGAGGGTCTACAGTGAGTGTGGGGACAGGGAATTGTCCCAGGGGTGCTGGGGATGTTGTGATGGCCTGGGCATTATCTCGGAGCTCCAGGAGGATGTTGTGACATCCTGGGGGTTGTCCCAGAGCCCCACGAGGGGTTTGGGGACATTGTGGTGTCCTGGGGGATGTCCCACTGCCCGACAGGGACTTGGTGCCATCCTGGTTGTCCAAGAACCTCATGAGGACAGTGTGACCTCCTGGGGGTTGTCCCAGAGCTCCATGGGGACTCTGTGCCACCCTGGGCACTGTCCCAGAGCTCCATGGGGACTCGGTGCCACCCTGGGGTTGTCCCACAGCTCCACAGGGGTTTGGGGACTCGGTGCCACCCTGGGCACTGTCCCAGAGCTCCATGGGGACTCTGTGCCACCCTGGGCACTGTCCCAGAGCTCCATGGGGACTCGGTGCCACCCTGGGCACTGTCCCAGAGCTCCAGGAGGACTTGGTGCCATCCTGGTTGTCCAAGAACCTCATGAAGACAGTGTGACCTCCTGGGCACTGTCCCAGAGCTCCACAGGGGTTTGGGGACTCTGTGCCACCCTGGGGTTGTCCCAGAGCTCCAGGAGGACTTGGTGCCACCCTGGGGTTGTCCCAGAGCTCCATGGGGATGTTGTGCCACCCTGGGCACTGTCCCAGAGCTCCATGGGGACTCGGTGCCACCCTGGCCTCTCCTGCAGACCTGGTCCCCAAGCCCCACGTGATGGCCACCACCAACGGCGACCTCCAGGTGTGCAACAGCACCCTGAGGTGCTCGGTGGCCCTCCAAGAGGTCACCTACGAGTGGATCTCGCCCCAGAAGGCCCTGATGAAGCAGGGCCCCGTCCTGGAGGTCTTCATCAAGCCCCCGGTGGAAACCTACATGTGCAGGGTCAGCAACCCCGTGTCCTCCAGCAACGCCTCGCTGACCTTCCGGAAGCCCTGCAACTGGACAGGTACGGCCACGGCCGGACACGGCCCCGGGCAGGGCTGNCCCCAAATCTGCCCCAAATCTGCCCCAAATCCACCTCAAATCAGAACCCCAAATCCATCCCAAATCAGAACCCCAAATCCACCCAAATGAGCCCCAAATCCACCCAAATCAGCCCCACCCTGGCTCTGTCCCCCTCCCAGGTCCCACCTCTGCTCCCCAGGGCTCCAGGGATGGTTTTCCACGCTCACCTCTGGATTTACAGTAGGGCACGAGGAAAATCGATAAAAGCGATGCGATTTCAACCCCGGCCACGACGCCGATCCTGATCCAGCTGCCGGAGTGGGCGCCTGGAAAAGGAAGAAGATCCCAAAATGAATCTGGCTCTTCCTGGCGTTGGGGCAGAGGGGATTTGGCCTCGAATCCCACCCTGATCCCTCATTCCGGGGAATCTCGCTCCAAGCCAGGGCAGAGGCGGTGCTGGATGAGGACAAGTGGCTTGAGAATCCCAGAATCCCCAAATGCTATAGTTCCAAATCCCCAAATTCCCAAATCCCTAAATCCAAATTCCCAAATCCCACAGTTGTTGGGTCAGTTTGGAACTCTGGAGATGTCCCAACTCTGTCAGGACGGGGTCACCCAGAGCAGGGGACACAGGGACAAGGCCAGGGTGGGTTTGGGGTGGCTCCAGTGGGGGCACTCCATGGGAAGAGGGTCTCAAACAAAGGTGGAACTTCTTGGGGTTGGGTTTGTGGCCACCACTCCTTGTCTTGTTCCTGGGAAGAGCCTGGATGTTCCCAGGAAAGGGATTTTGGGAGGAGCTGGAGGGTGCTGGGCTGGGGCTCCCCAATCGCCCTTCCTGGCCGGACTGGTATCTGGGGACACTTGGGGAGATTTGGGGACACTCAGGGACACTTGGGAACACTCAGGGGTGTAGCTGCACATTGACCGGGGTGTCAGCTTACCTGGGCTGGGAGAGTGCGTGGTGATTGCTGTTGAAGGGAGAGAACAGGGACAGGGGTCAGAGCTTCCCTCTGCATCTGAGCCACCGCTCCAGGGAGAGACAGAGCCCAGCCCAGCCCCAAATCCCAGCTTTTCCTGCTCTCAGGGGATCGGGGTCAGCCCATCCCAACCCCAAATCCCAGCTTTTCCTGCTCTCAGGGGATCGGGGTCAGCCCATCCCAACCCCAACATTTCCATTTCATTTAATCCCGAAATCCCAATGTTCCCATGGCTCTCAGGGGATCAGGATCAGCCCATCCCAACCCCAACATTTCCATCTCATCTCATCCCGAAATCCCAANTTTTATCCCCAAAATTTCTCATTTTTTGCACACCCTGACCCTTTTTCTCTACAGGAGCACCCCAGGCACTATGAGGAACCCATGAATTTCACCATTTACTCCACGGTCCAGTTCGACCACAGGGTGAGGCTGCCCTGGAGTGTCCCCAAGCCTTGGGGACACCGAATCCGTGTCCTCTTGGGGACACCAAATCCGTGTCCTCTTGGGGACACCAAATCCGTGTCCTCTTGGGGACACCGAATCCGTGTCCCCCGAGATTTTGGGATCCCGCTTTTCCCAACGCGAATTTCCCCCCTTTTTTCCCCACAGCCTTCATCCATCAAGAGGAAGAGGCTGGACCGATCTTTGGTCTCCACCGCCTACCTGGAGGTAATGGAGAATCCATCAGGTTTTTAGGGATCCAAAGAATCCCCAAAAATGCCCCAAAATGCCCCAAATCCCGCTCATTTCCTTGCAGGATAATGGGGGTTACAGGCGCTTGGGGTTCCCAAATCCCGCCGGCCACCAGCGCCCCTGAAACCCCGGAATTCCCATCCCGGTGGAATTCTCCTCCTGGAAACTCCAACGGCCACCGGGATCCATGGAATGGAAATATTGAGAATTATCCAGAAATTTGGGGTTTTCTCCCCAAGATTCAACCCCCGGCTGCGCCTCGGAGCGAAGATTTGGGGATGGAAAAGTCCGGAAGAGATGGATTTGGGATTGGGCAGGCGGGATGGGCGGGGTGGAAATTCCGTGGGGTTTGTGGGGTTTGGAAATTTGAGAATTCTTTATTTTTTATTTTTCTTGGTGAAGATCATGAAGAGGTTTGGGTTCACCAATCCGAGTTTTTGGCCAACGCACCAATTTTGGGGTGGGTTTGGTGCTGGCGCTCACTGGAGTTGTTTGCTCGTTTCCCGCCGAGGGATCTGGATTGGGAGGAGGAGGAGGAGGGCAAAAAAAGGCTCAAAACTTTAAAAGGTTATAAAAAAATCTTTATTAATTGAGTTAAAAATAAAATAATAAGAAAATCACAATAAACCTTTGGATTGCTTATTCCCCAGCCCCTCACCACCGTTTTTTCTTTCCCACTGTCAGCATAAAGAGGCAAAAGTTGGGACTTTCAGTCAATTTATAAACTCAAAATATCCTTTCTTCATTCTCTTGGGTAGAGGAGTCTCTCCTGCCATGCCATGGAGACGTCTCGACAAGAAACCATTATTTCCTGGCTTTTAATTTTAATTTTAATTTTAATTTTAATTTTAATTTTAATTTCCATGAAACGAACAAAGTCCATTGCAAGACAGCCGTGGTTGCGTGGTCCGGCCGTGAGGATTTTGGCCGGACAATGTCGGCCTGGTGGTCACTCTGGATTTTGGGGCCACCTCCAATGCTGGCCCCATGGCCAGTCCTGGTGGCCCTATGCCAACCTGGCCGGTCAGTAACCCGTCCCCAGGCCAGAGGAAAAAGAGCTTTTCTAGGGCTTTGTTGGTTTTTCAAAAATCTGCTTTTCCACAGAGGCGTGGTCAGCTCCTCCCCGCGGTGTCAATCTGCAAATCCAGCCAGGTGATTGGCTCTTCGGACCTCACCAGCGGATTGGCTCCGCCCCACCGGGAACCAATCCCTGGGCTCTCCTCCAGCTAAAAACCTGTCAAGATAAAGTCAGGAGAACCCCAAATCCACCCCAATTCAGTCCCAAATCTGCCCAAACTCTGCCCAAACTCTGCCCAAACTCTGCCCCAAATCAGCCCCAAATCTATCCCAAATCAGAACCCCAAATCCACCCCAATTCAACCCCAAATCTGCCCAAACTCTGCCCCAAATCAGCCCCAAATCCATCCCAAATCAGAACCCCAAATCCACCTCAAATCAGCCCCAAATCCATCCCAAATCAGAACCCCAAATCAGCCCCAAATCNCAAACCAACCCTTGGAACCCAAATTTGGGAATTCTGACCCCAAACCAACTCTTGGAACCCAAATTTGGGAATTCTGATCCCACACTGACCCTTGGAACCCAAATTTGGGAATTCTGATCCCACATGACCCTTGGAACCCAAATTTGGGAATTCTGATCCCACACTGACCCTTGGAACCCAAATTTGGGAATTCTGGCCCCACAGGAACCCCCAGAACCGCCCCGGAGCAGGAGCTGACCGTCTACGCCACGGTGGGAGAGAAGAAACGCCACCAGGACCCCGTGAGTGCCGGGATTGTCCCTTTCCACCCCAAAATCCGGGAATTTTGGGGTCGGACAAACCCCCCAAGGTCACTGAGTCCATCCTGGGGCTGACCCCAGCCTGGTCACTCGGTGTCCGGTCACTCCTCGGACACTCCCAAACCTTGGGCAGTTCCACGGCCTGACCACGCCGCCCATGGGGAAATCCACTCCAGGTGGGAATTTTGGGAGGCCCAAATTGATCCTTTTAACCATTTCTGGCTTTTTTTTGTGTCCCCAGGCCAGGACGGGTGAGGCCACCCAGGAAGGAGCCACCATCTGCAATGAGGTTGCTCCCAGGACAGTGGTAGGGTCATTCCCATGGGATCTCCAGGCTGGATCCAGTTTTTATCCTGAAATTTCCCATTTTTATCCTGAAATTTCCCGTGTTTTACCCCTAAAATTTCCCATTTTTTATTCCCAAAAGTTCCCATATTTTATCCCTAAAATTTCCCATTTTTAATCCCTAAAATTTCCCATTTTTATCCTGAAATTTCCCATTTTTTACCCCTAAAATTTCCCATTTTTTATCCCTAAAATTTCCCGTATTTTATCCCCAAAATTTCCCGTATTTTATCCCCAAATTTCCCAATTTTTACCTCTAAAATTTCCCATGTTTTATCCCCAAAATTTCCCATTGTTAATCCCCAAAAGTTCCCATATCTTATCCCTAAAATTTCCCATATTTTATCCCCAAAATTTCCCATATTTTATCCCAAATTTTTCCCATATTTTATCCCCAAAATTTCCCATTTTTATGCCCAAAATTTCCCATTGTTAATCCCCAAAAGTTCCCATATTTTATCCCCAAAATTTCCCAATTTTTACCTCTAAAATTTCCCATGTTTTATCCCCAAAATTTCCCTTTTTTAATCCCCAAACTTTCCCATTTTTATCCCAAAATTTCCCATTGTTAATCCCTAAAATTTCCCATTTTTTATCTCTAAAATTTCCCATGTTTTATCCCCAAAATTTCCCATTTTTTACCCCTAAAATTTCCCATTTTTTATCCCCAAAAGTTCCCATATTTTATCCCTAAAATTTCCCATTTTTAATCCCCAAAAGTTCCCATTTTTAATCCCTAAAATTTCCCATATTTTATCCCCAAAATTTCCCACTTTTTATCCCCAAAAGTTCCCATATTTTATCCCTAAAATTTCCCATATTTTATCCCCAAAATCTCCCATTTTTATCCCAAATTTTTCCCATCTTTATTCCCAAAATTTCCCA